GGCCGCGGCGGGCGGCGGCGGCGGGGGGGCGCCGGGGTCGGGAGCGGGGATCCAGACTTGGCTGCCGTCGGGCCGACCCCAGACCTGCCACCTTCTCGGCATCGCGGCCAGGGACTCTCGCGGAATCTAGGCGGGGATCTCTCGCTGACTCGCTCGCCGGCGGCGCGACGGGTCCGAGAGAAGGGGGAGGAGATTGGGGACGAAACTCTTTTCGAAACGGAGACGTGGCGAGGGAAATGGGTGACGGGAAATGGGGAAAAAAAATGAGACAACGGGAAATGGGAAATGGCCAGACGGCGCGCAGCGCTTCCTCCCGCTCTTTTTTTCCTCTCGCCCTCCCGGTCGGGCCCGAGGGAGATGGGCCGACCCTACCGTACCATGGGCGTGCGGCCCACAGTGATGTCCAGCCTGCCTGGTCGGGTCCTGAGCCTAGCCCGCACGCCGCCGTAACCTCCTATTCGGCACTTTTTTCTCAAAAAAAAAAAATCCTATTCGGCACTTGTGGCGCCAAATGCCACATAATGTGTGGTAAGCAATTCCATAATGATTTATGTTCGATCTTTATAGATAAAAAGTTCCTTTTTAGTAGATGACTCGTCGGGCCGTCAGAGCAGGACTTCTTTGATAAAAAATAACTTGATTCTATTCCTTTTTAGTAAGGAGGCGGCATTTCCCATAAGGAAAGGTATGTCATTACAACCCCGACGTATTGAGGCCGCTTGAAGGCCCCCTCACCCGAAGTGATTTATCAAAATTCTTCTTTCTTGATGATTCAATTTGGTTGATCTGATACTTAGTTAACTCATTCATCTTGATGTTCCCACCGATACCTAATCGATAACGAAGCTGAACAAAAATAAAAAAGATGAGACTTTTTTTTGAGAAAGATGAAGCTTTTTTTGAAGACAAACAACGTCATTTATTCCATTGTATAAGCTTTACAGGGATATATAAATTTTCAAGAGGAGAATTTAACCATACATGTAGCCAACCCGACCATGTCCGAAGCTGGCTTACAAATTTTCTGGGCGGAGGGAGGGTAAGACTCGCTCTCGCATCGCCCCCGCGGGCGGCTCGGGAGCAGCCCCGCCGCCGCCGCCAGCAGCCCACCCACCATCCTCATCCTCCTCTCGCCGCCGCCGGCAGCGGTCGTCGGGCAGAGCCCGCGCAGCTCGGCGGCGGCGGGGCCTCTGTCCCCCTTTCGTCTACAGGTGGCTGGCGCGGGCCGGTGGCCTCGGCGGGAGCCCGAGCTGCTGCGCGCGCTTGGGGCGGCGCGGCTGGCCTGCGGGGTGGCGCACGGAGGCGCGGGCGCGCGTTGGCGTGGGCGCGCGAGCACGGATTTGCTGCGTGGCGCGGATCTGGTGGCGGGCTGGGACGGTGGAGCTCCTCTGCTCAGGTGCTACGGGCGCAGATCTAGCGTGCACTGTTGAGCGGTGCGGGCGGCAAGGCGTGTCGGAGTAATGGGCCACGGGTAGGCTAACCCGAGCCCCAGAACCTTTCAAGACATCGGGGCAGGCCGCGCCCCTCAAAGCCGAGTCTCAGATGACGACTCCCAGATGAGCCGAGTCTCAGATGACGACTCCCAGATGAGCCGAGTCTCAGCTGGCGACTTCCGGAGGAGCCGACTCATGGCCGGCGACTTCCGGAGGAGCCGACTATGGAGAGTCGGCCCACGACTCTACACTCGTTTTGATAGACGAGGCGGGTACGACCACGGCGTGGCCGTCACCTCCTCCTTGCGAGGGGCCAGCATGGCTACAGTGTGCCGTACCGCCGAAGATCTCCGGCGTGGCCCGACACTGTTGCCATGCCAGCCCTGACCTCAGCCTCAGTAAGCAGCGCACTGTGGCCACGATGGCCTACCTGTACGGCTCAGAGACGGCGGGCCCGCCGGACAGTGAGAACATAGAAGACGGCGGGTACGCCCCGAAGGCGGCCCCATGGGAGTCGGCTCCCCAGAGTCGGCCAGCCTTTCCCATGGGTCCCACGCGCCATTAACCAGACAAGATGGGGAGTAACGACAGTGATCACCCGATAGACGGCGGCACTGTTGCCATGACCCAATGACCGAGCATGCGTCATCAGAAGCACGGCTACAGTGCCGGACTCGCCGGCGGGGCCCGTGAGTCGGCGGGCCCCAGCAGTCGGCGGAGAAGACGGCGGCCTGTGAGACAGACGGCTGGGACCCGCGCCCAGTCGGATTACCATTGTACCCCCGGGGGTAGGCCTATATAAACCCCCCCCCCCGGGGCACCCATGCAAAGGGTTCGCATCCCTTAATCTTAGACCAGATCATATAGGAAGAGGAGAGCTAGCCTTGCCTTCTTCCACCTCCAGAATACAGCTCTAGGAGCAACCTTGTAGTCACTACGCCTTAGTGATCATGCGGAGACCCCGCAGAGCAGCAGTAGGGGTGTTATCTCCCTGGAGAGCCCCGAAGCTGGGTAAGATTCGCCAGCGTGCATGCCTTCGCCTAATCCTGTTTCCTGGCACCGGCGATGTTCTACTCGCTCCCACCATGATAAGCCATCCTTTGGCATATGTCGCACCCAACCCCCGACATTTGGCGCCCACCGTGGGGCGAGGTGCACCGTCGTACGGAGACCTGCTTTGGACGGGAACCCTTTTCCTCCCCCGCGAGCGTAGCCAGCCTGGCACGCCCGATGGCGCTTGCCCCGACGCACTGCAAAGCGTCGACGACGCCTGCGCGGCGAGCTGCCTCGATGACCTTCTCAGCGAGGTTAGCATCTCTGACGAGCCTGCATCCGATGCGGGCACGGGCGGCCCCGAAAGCCTCCTCGCGGGCCTCCTCGACCATCTCCACGTCGCCGGCGAGCCTGCCGTGGACTTGGAGTCTGTAGGTTCCACCGACCCGATGCTGGTCGATTCCGACAGCGTGTCGCTCGACACGTTCCCCTCCAACATGGTGATCTACGATGAGCCGCTCCCTCGCGAGGCGAGCGGCGGAAGCGCCATCACGGAAGTGCTCGTCATCAGTCATGGCGAGCACTCCGGTGAAGGAGCTCATGACCCGCTCGACGCGGCTCTGCGAGACCTGACGGCGCCCATTCTAGAGGACGCTGACGCCGAGACGCTGGAGGCACGCCGCCTTCAGCTCGTCGAAGACGCGAAGAAGCTGGCAAGCATGAGACGCTTGTCAGAGGCCTACCAACGTGAGATGGATCGCGCTGTGGGCGGCTCGCCAGCGCCGACTGGGCCTAGCCGCCTAGGCACGGTCCGACAATGTGGCACGGCCATCGCCAACCTGTTCGGGGCCGATCGCCCTGTATATGCCATGCCTGCAGAGAACATCCGTGCCGCCCAGGCGGCGGCAGACGAGCTAGACAACTTCGAAGGCGAAGAACGCCGCCAAATGACCGAGCGAGTCCAGTGACTCCTCAAAGCGGCTGCCGCGTAGAACGAAGTCGGCTGCCGCACGGAGGCGCCGCAGCGACAAAATGACGACTTACCTCCCTACCGAGATCAAGGCGCGACGTCCCGGACGCCGACTGGCGGGGTCTGTGGAAGAAAA